CCCCTCCCGTTCCCCTCTCCCCCTATTACGCCATCCTGCCTTCCGAGCCTGCGGCACACTTGGGTATAACGCGCATTATTGTACGAAATTAATAAAGATCAAATCCTGTCTACTAGTCGTAAAAAGCGTCGTTACGAGCGACGCGATAAAAGCGATTCGAGTTAATGTGATAGGGAGCGGACATCTCATTTTTTTTTCCATTTTGTTAAGCTTATCCCCTGGATAAATCAAGATTTCGTCGAGTTTGATGTTAATTTTATTCGACGAGCCGTTACGTAATCGCATTTTTGAGCAAGAAAGGGTTTTGAAATCATCGCACCTCGCTCTTACCGTAACGCAAGGTTAACGACAGACCTACCAGTATAATCACGCGCGCGAACGAAGAGATTAGATTTCGAACGGCGTTTATTCTACCAACTGTAAGCCGAACGCGTGTTAATACAAGGTCGAGTGGTGCGAGGGGACAAATTGACCTCCGTAGTTTTAATGGCACGGCCACAGCTTCGAGTAGTTGTAGCGCGGATAGATAATGGATTTGAGAGAGAGAGAGAGAGATAGTCTCTCTATAGTCGAATGATAATATTCCCATTTTTTTTTACCTCGGTTTATGTTACATATTACTCTCATATATTGATGTATCTTTTTTTTATAAAATCGTTTATGCATAGCGAAACAGGTTTTCATCGTTAAGCTTATCCTGGATAATCTGGATAAATCAAGATTTCGTCGAGTTTGATGTTAATTTTATTCGACGAGCCGTTACGTAATCGCATTTTTGAGCAAGAAAGGGTTTTGAAATCATCGCACCTCGCTCTTACCGTAACGCAAGGTTAACGACAGACCTACCAGTATAATCACGCGCGCGAACGAAGAGATTAGATTTCGAACGGCGTTTATTCTACCAACTGTAAGCCGAACGCGTGTTAATACAAGGTCGAGTGGTGCGAGGGGACAAATTGACCTCCGTAGTTTTAATGGCACGGCCACAGCTTCGAGTAGTTGTAGCGCGGATAGATAATGGATTTGAGAGAGAGAGAGAGAGATAGTTTCTCTATAGTCGAATGATAATATTCCGGAGCCAACACTCGAAGTATACTTGGAGGAGCGGAAAATGGGCTCGCGGCCCGGAAACTGCCCGTCACTATTGTCGAGGGGAAAGGAGGGGAAATCTGTAGGATGTAAATGGATCGTATAATCGGTACCGCTGTTAATTTGCGCGAGTTGAAAAACGCCGCGAAAAAACTCCTCGACAAGATCGATCGCGTCGCGATAACGTCAAAACTAATGGAATGATCGAGTGGAGCAGGGCAAATTTTTATGCGCTTTTATCGATTATAACTCGATCTCGTCATCTAGCTCCCCCCATTGCAGTTGCACTCGTCCGTATAAAATTTTTTTCAACTTCTTTGCAGTTTCATAAAGATGATAAAATTTCGCAACCCGCGTCGTTTTACGCGCGCGAAAACAATCAATTTTGTAATTATTATAATATCAGTTTCGGAGGATTTAGAGTATTACCGAGCGAAATTGAAATGCGCGAAATAACGATTTTGTAAATGCGAATACTCTGTATGTTAATATTTAATTATTTAAAATATTTGAATAGTTAATTCAAAATATCTCGTGAAATCGATCAAAGAGATGCGTTTCGCGGATATTGAAATGCGGAGTTCGTCGCTTTTGAGGGTAATAATTCAACAAATTGATATTTCTTTGAAAGCGCGCTGCAGGCGCGCGCGAGAAAGGAGATGAGAAAAAAGATCCGGGATCGGGAATAAAAGAGGCGTAGAAAAAGAAGAGAGCAACAAGAGAAATCAAGGGAATACGGAAAAGCTTAAAAAGCGCGCCATCGGCGCCGCTCACCTTGGCGTAGCTACTTGGAGAATCCTGGTAATCATCCGCGTATTACAAAAGAATGAAATTTATACTCTTTCTCTCTTTACGAAATAATTTCTTTTCCTACGGTGCCTCATTTCTTTTTCCGTCCCAGCCATGCGACATAAGAAAAATAATCGAGCAAGAATAAGACTCACCGCGTCTGGAACGCTGCTTTGATAACTGCTGTCGATACTGGCCGTTTGGTACGTCCTTCCAAGTTGTCAAATTATCGGCAGATGTTTCATCTATGGACATAATAGAAAAAGATTGAGATGAGACGGCATAATTAAAGACAGACTGAAACGAACGGTATATTGTCAGAAGTAGAAATGACGTAACGAAATAATTTGAAAATGTTCATTAGCACGGGATAGCTTTCATATTCGTTTCATGTCCCGATCGTGACTGACCTTGTTTATATTAATTAACGCTTCTCGAGGTCGCGAGTCCGGCCCGCAAAAAAGTATCGATGTATAATGTAAAAGTTATTACGAATCGTATCGATTACTAGTCCATTTTGTAAACGAATGATTAAACAAGTCCGCATATAATACGGTCGATTCGCGAAAACCGTATGCTCGACGATGTTTTCGGTCCAAGCTTGATTAAGCCGCGACCTGATTTTCTATGTACGAATTTTATTATTCCCCCGATACACATACGCGTTGAATGAAACGCGCTAAATAGAATTATGAGCATACGCCATTGAATATCCGACTGCTAATATTTCGGTCAAAGAGGCGGAAATTATTTCATAAATGTGCTATGTTGAACGTGTGATTGGTTCACTGCATTTGGGATCTGTATCGAGCAATACATCTCTCTCTCCTATGCTATGTACGCTCAATCTATGTCGCCGAGATGGCTGTCATTGCGTTTCTATTTGCTCGATAATTCGCGCGCGAACATTATTCTCAACTAAATAAATGTATAAATCATGCAATCCTCTTTCTCTCTCTCTCGTAGAGATAAAATTAAATAAATGATAAAAGATTCGATTGAGAGATTTGGATGAAAATATGGTGCGTGAGATGCCTTCCAAATTTATCGCCGACCAATACACGATTCAATTTACGTTCTCAGATACCGGGTAGAAACACGAGAACTGGCGCAATGCCACTGTGGCAATATGTCCACTCTGTTTTTGACTCTCTCTCCTACCCTCTTTAGTCGGAAGCTTTTGCTAGGCAAATATGTCGGGATGCTATCTCCGACGTACGACCGGTGAAAATCTCTTTCTCTCTCTCTCTCTCTCTCTTTCTTTCTCTCTCGCCCTCTGACCAACTCGCTGTTTGTTCCACCCTCCTTTCAAATAAAGTGACGCCAAGGATGTAACCCGACGTATTTGTCTTAACCGGGAAATTTACTTCCACATTCAAACATTCGCCTTAAAAAAGTTCCTTGTCTCATTTATACAATTATATTGTTTGATGTCTCGTACAATCTTTTATGCAGCCAAATGTTTTTCGGTTTTTTTAGAAGAAAAGCGTAAAAGAAAAACGGCATAATAAATTGAGAAAAATTTTTGTTGTTTTATTACACCATAACAAACATTTTGAGTTATCATAAAACACAAGCAAGAAAATTATTGCGAAAGTATCTTTGATACGTATCGATACGTTATATCCAATCTTTCTTACGACATATCGAGAAAATGATAGATCTTTTCATTTTCAATTACACACGCGAATGCGAAACGCGTTTCCCAGCAGATATAGCCGTCGTTACAGATGGATTATCAGCAACACGTACATCCGAAAAAGCTGCACGAGATACCAATGTCTTTTCGATACTAGATAAATCGAGTTAAAAAAAAAAGACTGCTTTAAACACGACTTTTAATGAAACAAGAAATCAAATTTCAATGTTTACTCTTTTGCGATCGCGTGCAAATAGAGACGTAATATCATAATAACATTACATTATTTTACATTAATCCATCGAGCTACATTATGTTACGAGCCATGATTTCGCGAAATGTCTGTTTGCGGAATTAAATGAATATCAGCGAGATTGGACCGCAAATATATATGTGCAAGATAGGTAAATACTTTATTTCCAAAGAAAACAAAAAGAGATAAAATTTCATTAATCAAACAAAACAGGAAAAAGGAACAAATATACTTATAAAGAAAATAATAATATATAAATTGCTCACACTCAATTCGGTTTCTCCATCATCGCTTGAGTGCCTCCTCCTCTTTCCTCTGTCTTATCTTTCGATAGTCCTTTATAATACACGTACGAAAACTTACTCGCGAAATTAATTATGATCGCGCGCGCACTAATCAGCAAGATATAGACGATCGCATGACACTCCTGATATTAATTACAAACATACTTTATGATATATTGCGATGGGAATAGGATCCACTCGGCACCCGAATATTGCGCCATTTATTGCGGCATTATTATATATATATATATATATAGATCGCACTACTTCCTGCTCGAGAGTTACCGCTCGAATGATAAGACTACGACGAGTCTCATGTATGTATATAAACAGTAGCGTGCCAAATTTTTATGTATGTATTGATGTGTGTTATTGATGTCCCGCTGTGGAATGTGCTATTATTGTCACTTGCGCGCGCGACGCGCTGTAACCTTGAGCAGGGAGGTAGCGATCTAAGCCGCTACATATATCGTAATTTAATATTTTTCTAAATACGATTACGCAAAAAATATCAGAAAATGCCAAACGCGATAGTTTCTTAAGATTAATATAATTAGCGATTATCAATTAATGCAATTGATATATTTTCACTTGTATTTCGATGTATCGATAGAGAATTTAATTCGTTGTCGTTGCAAAATATCTACCGCAAAATAAATCTATAGGAAATATTCTAGTTTTTCGTATTAATTTCTAATTAATGGTTGATATAATTACGACTTTCCGTTATTTGATTTATTCGATTTGTGTGTTATTGTACGCTCTCAATCTGAAAATGGCAAATGACGTTTAAAAATCGATGAATAATATAAAACTCTGATAAAGAGCGATCACTTTAATACTTATACAAGTCTTTCATCACGAGAGTTAATAAATCATATAAATTGATAATTATAATCGTTAATTGTATAATAAAATAATCGCCTTTCAAAGTATAATGCGACTAATCGAAGTGACAGAGAATTACAAATTATATTATTACGATATTTTCGGGCAATAATTATTTTTTTTAAATATGTTTGGAGAGAGACAAAATTCAAATATAATATGTATTTCGGGTTTTGAATTCTTTTCATTCAAGTTTAATTCGCTAACCATTTACGCTTGTTAATAATATATACGAATCGCAGAATTATTTGTATGAGTACATATTGTATGAATATTAAAATCGTCATTTAGAGTAAAAATAGAGATAGCAAGCGTAATCGAACAAATGTACATATTAAAATTAAAGATAAATATCTAAAAATATATATAATTCCGATATTTTGTCAATAGATTTCGACACACGATAGAAAGAGATTTCGATGAAATAAATTACATGGAATATGCCATCGATCACATTGATATACAAGCGTCTAAATTTTGCTACAAGATTGATAAATAATAATGCAGCGATAATACAAAGCACTCATCGTATTATCCCCTTTAAAAAATAACAATTTTGTATGGTTATATAGTATTACGATTTACGATTAACAATTTGTAAACGTGCCAATGAGACGATTATTTATCGAAGCAAAGATTTCATTTTTCATATAGCAAAAATTAAAATAATAAAAAATGAGAATTATAAATTATTGTTTTATATTTATGGGCAATAATAATTTCTTTGATTTCAAAAAAAATATTGCGTCACGTTTCGAATTCTTCGCCCCGATTTAAATATAATTCGCTCATTATTTTCACGCGATGTAATTCAGAACATGGAATAATACCACGAATCGTCAAATTAAGTGATTTGAAAAAGCTTCGTGACATGTCGACTATTTATTAATTATATATATATATATGTGTTTTGTGAAACATCGATCGTGTGAAAAGTCGACAAATTAAACTATATTTTCCAATATCCGTCGGCGGATATTTATCTTTCATTCCAACTTGTATATTTATTCACTTTTATTATAATGCGAGATAAAGTTCCCATAAAATGCAAGCGTAAAATGTAACGACGTGCATTTGGCCACGATTTTCGAGTACCGAGCAAATCGTAATTTACCATATCTTTCGCGCTACTCTCTCATTACACGAATCTTTCACTAAGCCAAACTGATTAACCTGTTTTTGTAAATTTCTTAATTTTAGTATCAGAACACTAATCATGTACTTTGGTACTAAAATTAAGAAATTTACAAAAACTGGGATTGGTCAATTTGGCTTCTGAGAGGCTCATATAATAAAATGCGCATATCTTGCGATTAACATCGAAAGTATCACGCAATCCTCGTATTCTGCTGATTAGTCTGCGCACGTTTGTAATTAATATTTTCGTGAATGAGTTTCGTATAAGTGCCATGAAAAAACAGTACAAGATGAACGACTTTTATTTGTCAAATTTTATATCTAACACATTTTTTTTTTCAAGAGTCGTATAATTTTTATATTAAATATATAGAGAAATAAAAAGTTAAACTGCACGTATAGCTTATAACTCATATTGAAATGGGCCAAGTTCTATTAACAGAAATTCTTTTAATTTCCCAAGTATAATAGAGCTTATTATGTTTTGTAAGAAAATTGAAGTAGACGAGAAATTCTGATTAAACTTTTTCTCAAGAAAAAGAGTTTAAGATCTTTTTTTCTTGATTAATCCTTAATGGCTTGAGATCAATATTCAAATAAAGTAAATAGATAAAAAACAAGTGATACATATTTATTATTCGATGCTGAAATATATGAAGCCAAATATCAGGAGATAATAAAGCGAAATATCTCTCTAAACCAAAAAATGATTAGCTTGAATTAAAATACACATTTCGCTTTAATTATACGTATAATTTAATATGAAACAAAATTGACGGAAACTTTTGATATCTAGAAAAGCAAATAATTTTTCAAGAAGGTGTCATGCACCGTGTCTACATCTTGTCGTTCAGTTAATACAAATTTCCTTGAAAGAGGGTGGTTCCCGGAGCAGATATTACGCGAATTAAAAAGGGAAGCCGTTCCGATTAAGCTAACAGTGACTGCGGAGGCGTTCCGCTTCCCGACGAAGCATTACTTCCGGATAATTACGTAGAATTTCACACGGTTCATTGGTTTGCTACTTTAAAACAATCATGGTTTGATCATTTCTAAGATGGATAGAACTTTTTTTTTTATCTCAGCGTTTTAAAAGCTTTCTCGTGCTTATGTCGCGTTCCTTGATGGATCGTATCTCGATTTTCACTAAATAGTAAAACAGAATAATTGTTATATATAAATTGTTTTCAAACAAATATCAAGGTAATTGAATAGTTGTTATAATAATTATATGATGTTTATTATGCATGTTATTATACGAGTCAGCATTAAATTATATTATTATTATTATGTGTAATGTTCATTAATAAGAAAAGAACTTATATTTATTGATTTGTTTAGTTGAGAGGACGATCGATAATCCCGTCAATTTGAATTTCTTCCAAAAATAAATTAAAAATAAGGCACAGAACGGACTCTATTTTAATTTTGCTACTCCGACGACCGACTTAAGCTAGTTCCATATTATGCGAACAAGCCAACGAGAAAGGGGATTCGCGTAGCGTTTATCCTGAACCGGATCCGTTCGGTCGTTCGCTCTTCTCTTCGGTCCTGCACCTGCTCCGTATGCCGGTACATGAATGCGCATCCGTATAATCTGAACGAACGAACGAGCAAACAAAGGGAGTTCGGTCAGGGCAGTCAAATGCATCGTATAGTTTACGGGATAACGCAGATAACGCTTTCTCTCTTTTTTTTTTTTTTTTTTTTTTTTTTTTTTTTTTTTTTTTCCCCTCCGGACAAATTAAGGCGCTCTGTGCGCGCTTCATCACGCCGCGAATATTCTCGAACGTACTAATATCTCGAGATCGTCGCGGCATCCTTTTATAACGAAAAAAATGGCGATAACGCGCTCCGATTAACCGAACTGGATATTGGCTCTCGGACGCATCTCGTCACCGGAA